TTCTGAACACAGGGCTTGAATTCTAAGAAAGGAGGCCAAATTTTTAGAGAACCCTTTTGAAAGTTGTATAGCACAGCCAAATGGTGAGCAACTTCCATGAATGCTACAGCCAGATCCTGTGCAGAAGTTCGGGGGAGATGTCATTCTCATTCCATACACGAACAGTCACAGATTGAGTGTATTTTATGTAAGACCTTATATATAAAGGTGGGATCATGGTTTATACATTTGACAACATTTCTTTCATAGGATATTCACAATTTTTATGTATTCCTTTGACATTCTTTTCCTGTTATTATTCCAGTTTGCTTAGATTTTAGAACTAAGCATAATCAAACCTGTGGAGAGTTGCATGTTATTTCATGAATGTTTAGAATTCTTGTAGAAAGATGTATTTTGAGTATTTTCCTGAGTAGCCTTATGCATGTTTGAATTGTTTTCTTTGGTTTTAAGAGAACTTCAGTATTTTTCTGAAAAATCTCTATAAAGTATTTATTCTTTCTCTCTCTCTCTCTCAAACACACACACACACACACACACACACACATACACACACACACACACACACTTTCTATGTGCAAGACACTTATTAGATGTTTAGGATACATCAAAAACCAAATGTTGAGCTTACATTTTCATTCTCCGTAACTCTACACCAAAAAGTTGCTAGATGTGTACATGCCTTTTTATTTATTATTTTAAATTAATTCTTTATGGTAAATATTATGTAATAGCATCTCTGAGTGCCTTAAGAATGTTTTATAGTAGATGTTAGAGCTCTCTGAAGACAGTGTGGGTATATGAAGTTTTTGTAGTTATTTTTGATGTCTTATGAAAGATAGATGAAATAAATGATCAAGGATTGTAAGTGATACTTTGGTGGTATCTGTTTTGGTTAATTTGCAACCTAACATCAGTTACATAAGTAACTTCCTTGGTTATTCTCTCTTCCATCCAGGTGCAAATTTAGAGAACCAATGATAGCTTTAATTGTTCATGAATACTTGATTCTTAATCTTTTTTTCTGAAAATTTCTGAAATTAATTAGTGTCTTATGGTCTATGCTGTTCTGAGAATTATTTATTTTTAAAATATTTTATTTACTTATTTATTTATTTTTATTTTATTTTTTTGTTATGTGCTCCTAGCAGGAACCAAACCTGGGACTCTCTGGTCTGCAGGCCGATGCTCCAACCACTGAGCCAAACTGGCCAGGACAAAATATTTTATTTTTCACTCACAGTTTACATTCAATATTATTTTGTATTCATTTCAGATATACAGCACAGTGGTTAAACAATCATACACTTTACAAAGTGGTCCCCTCAATATTTCAAGCATCCACCTGGGACCTCACAAAATCATTACAGTATTATTGACTATATTCCCTATGCTGTACTCTACATCCCTGAGACTGTTTTTGTAACTACCAATTTGTATTTTTTAATCTCTTCACCTTTCACGCAGTTCCCCACCCCAAGCATTGTTTAAAGTTACTTTGTAATGGAAAACCCAAAGCCTGCTAATAATACATATCTTTGAAAATTGATTTGTTTGGGGACAGTTTCTAAGTCACTATCTAGTAATCTCTTGCTTTGCTTTTCATTTTGATACTAACAGATAATACAGGAAATGACACATTTCAAGATTTTTCAGCTTAACTAAACCAAGTATATTTTCCTAGCACTTCTTTGCTAATACTTTTGAAAACTACCACTCCTTCTTTTTTCAGTTATTTATAAAGAACTGTTTACATAAAGATTATCGTCTCTTTTTGTGCATAGGTCACTATGTATTACACTTCAGATTCCATTGTAAAATGTTCTAATTAAAAGCTTCTACCATTCTTACTCGAACATCAAAAGGTCTCTTAGCTGTGATCAATGCCAAAGTGGATTCTAGGAAAATCAAGGATTTGTAGGGTAGTGAAATGGTAATCAGAAGAAAACAAATGCTTCTGTGCTAATAGTAAGTTGGACTCTGAAACCATTCAGAATGTTACAAACATGTTAAGGGGCGAAGAGATTTCTAAGAGAGATATAGTAGTCATGGCATTTCCACAGAGTCTGTTGTTTCAACAGCAACTGACTTTCTTATTTTGTGGATTAGTATAAAGGTCTAATTTTAAGCAAATTGTTTAATTTCTTGGGGCCTCAATTTTCTAACAGTTTTTATACAATGACATTCTAAGACAGAGACTGATAGGTCCTCTGCCCTGCCCCCCAACCTCCTGTCTATCAGTTCTTGGGATAGTTGTGGCTCTCACCCTGACTTCTGAGCTTCTACTTCTTATTTGATTTGAATGACAGAAAATGTATCTCTGCCTTACAAATCTGCCTTACAAAGTCCCAAGGTTTCATTCAGACAGTGTATTGATTTATTATTTTTCTTTACTGAATTATTTCCCTTAAAAAACAAAACAAAATAAAACATTATTACTAGGGATCCCACAGAATGGGTTAAGAAGAGGCACCTTGTTCCCTGGGAAACTTTAGCTCTACACTAAAAATTCAGTAAGCATTCTTCTTTGTGTTTGCGGCTCTTGCAGTCTTACTTCTTTGGAGTTCATTCTCTCAGTCAATAGCCAAGCATGGGGTATACATCGGTGAGTGGGTTCGACCCAACCCCTGCCTTCCGAAAGCTCACAATGAAGGCTTCCTGGGGCAGTGACTTCAGCTGAGCTTTGTAGGACAAATAGGTGCTTGCTAGATGAAGGGGTTGGAGGCAGAGTCCAGAGACGGGTCTGTGGGCTGGAGGAACTCTGCATTAGGAAGTGAAAGATGAAAGAACACGTTCTCTGTGGCTTTTGTGGGGGTAGTGCCTGTACTGCTGTGAGAGATTTTCTGATACATGAATGCATGAGATTGCATTCTTGCATTGGTGTGTGTATACCATTTGCCAACAAGAGCCACTGTGGTTAATTTTTTACCTTCTTGGTGATTTTTGATATTCATCTGTTCTATCATTAAATAAAGTAAAGAGTATTCCATCCTCACAAAGTCAGGAAAGACTCTGCGTAAATTCTGCCTAGAGGTAATCATTCTTGTAACAAAATAACCCTTTCCCAGAGACAAAAGGAAGGGACCATAGGGACCATTACTGTAACCCCAAATAGTGATTTTTCCCCTACATTCCTTTAAGGTATAATTTAAAACAATCTCTAGCCCAATTTCTAGCACTTTGGAAGATTTTATATTTATTAGCACTCACCTTATAATAACATTTATGAAATAGAATATAAAGCAATTTATACAATTTAAAGAATTGAGAGGAATAGAAATCTGGTTTGACATTATTATTATGTTTCCTGTATTATTTTCTGGTGTTTCCTAAAAAAAAAAAAAAAAAAGTGTTTTGGATATAGACATAAGAATCATGCAAATCTGGCCCTGGCCAGTTTGGCTCAGCGGTTAGAGCGTCGGCCTGCGGTCCGGAGAGACCCGGGTTCAGTTCCCACTAAGGGCACGTACTTCGGTTACAATTTGTCCCCAGCCCTGGTTGGTTGTGCGGGTGGCAGCCACTCGATGTGTCCCTTCACATCGCTGTTTCTCTCTCTCTCTCCTTCCCATTCTATCTGTACAAAAAATGGAAAAATATCCTCGGGTGAGGATTAAAAAAAAAAAAGAATCATGCAAATCTGTTGATATATATTTTTTTAATCCTCATCTGAGGATATGTTTTTATTGATTTTTGGAGAGAGAGGAAATGGGGGGGGTTTGAGAAACATTGATGTGAGAGAGAAAAATCAACTGGTTGTGTGCCCTGACCTGGAATCGAACCTGCTGCCTTTTGGTGTATGAGATGATGCTTCCACCAACCGAGCCACCTGGGGAGAGGAAACCTGTTGAGAATTTTTAAGAACTTATTTGAACAAAACTGACAACATTGCTGGAAAGCAAAATCTCAAGGATTGAGAAAACACTTCAGAGAAGGGCAGTTTGGCAGCTTATTTTATACATTAGGTTCAAAGGCCCTGGCCAGGTAGCTTAATTGGTTAGAGTGCTGTCCTGATACACCAAGGTTATGGGTTCAATCCCTGGTCAGGGCACCTTACAAGAATCAACCAATGAATGCATAAATAAGTGGAACAACAAATCGATGTTTCTCTCTCTAAAACCAATAAATAAAAAATAAAAAGGAGGAAACATTCATTATAATTGTTTCCCTCCCATAAAACAAACAAACAAAAAAGAATCAGCTCTGGCTGGTTTGGCTCAGTGGTTAGAGTGTTGGCCTGAGGTCCAGAGAGACCTGGGTTCGGTTCCCGCTAAGGGCACATACTTTGGTTGCAGTTTATCCTGGCCCTGGTTGGTCGTGCGGGTGGCAGCCACTCGATGTGTCCCTTTCACGTCGATGTTTCTCTCTCTCTCTCTCTTCCTCTCTCTCCCTCCCACTCTATCTGAACAGAAAATGGAAAAATGTCCTCCAGTGAGGATAAAAAAAAAAAGAATTGAAGAAGGAGACCTAAAGAGAGTTACATGAAGTCCATTGTTGGTAGATTAAGGGGATGGGAGAAATCAAAACAGGGGAATCTCTGGGACAGGATAAAACAGAGACACAGGATAGTAATTAACATTTACAGAACAATGGTGGACGAGATGCATCATGGCTGGCTTTGAAAGGGAATAGCAACAAGGTGACAGTGAGGGGTTCTGGTGGTGGTTGTGCCCCAAGAGGTCTGGAAAAGGAGACTACTCTGATATTTTAAAGGTATGCTATCTGAGATGTAAAAAGACAATAGAAAAGTTCACTTAAGGTAAAGATTGGCCTTTGTCATAGAAACTACAGGCCTAGGACATGATGACCTGCCTTGACCTGCTTTTCGTTAGGAATTTTTACGTGCAGACCATCCCATGTGGTTATTTCCAGTCTCCGAGTTTGTGGGCCCACCATGCAAGCCTCCCCTGAGCTGGTCAGGGTTAGTCTGTGGCCCCTTTTCATCCACAAGGACTTGAGCCTTCGTCTGCTGACAGCCCCGTTTTGTGTTCTTCCTCCTGCAGTCTAGTGGAATTGCAGCCATCATCGTCATTTTGGTGTTGCTGCTGCTCCTGGGCATCGGCTTGATGTGGTGGTTCTGGCCCCTTTGCTGCAAAGTGGTGAGTAAGGACTTTCAGCCTTTTTTAACCAAGTGAGATGTGGATAACGTGGAATGTGAATCAATGCTACATTGTTGAACAATAAGAAAGTTTCAGTTAGCAAATTGAATCTTAATAGTTTTTATCACTATAATACATTCTAGAAAACATGCATGCCAATTAATATTTATTATAAAACTTTTTCTAAAAATATTTCAAAATCAGACTTAAAGGAAAAAGGGAAGAGAAAGATAGGAGAGGTCATAGGGATAAAAGAATTTCAGGTACAAAAGAATCTCAAGTAAATTAAATGATATTTTCAATTGGATTTATTGGAAGAAGCTGATAATCTGTCAGGTTTTTTTTTTTTTTTTTTTTTTAAGTGCTTATTCAATCTTTCATTACCTCTTTGAAAGATCTGTTATTTCAGAACCTTCTTTGTTTGTCTCTCAGAAAAACATTTTAGAAATAAGTCATGTGCAAATGTTATCTGTTAATGTCACTTTGGAGGTTATGACAGGTGGTTTCCATTTGAAACAGTTTTCATGCTTGAGTAAAAACCTCTGAAAGAATATGGGTGTAGCTCGGCCAGTGTGGCTCAGTGGTTGAGCATTGACCCATGCACCAAGAGGTCGCTGGTCTAATTCCCAGTCAGGGCACATGCCCAGGTTGTGGGCCCAATCCCCAGTGGGGGGCATGCAGGAGGCGGCCAATCGATGTTCTCTGTCACTGATGTTTCTGCCTCTCCCTTTTCTTTCCTCTCTCTCTAAAATCAATAAAGAAAAAAAATTTTTTTAAATATGGATGTATATTAATTTTCTATTGCTACTTTAACAAATTGCCACAAATTTGGTGGCTTAGCTTAAAATAATGCAGATTTATTATCTAACCATGATGTAATCACAGATCCAGAATGGGGCTCACTGGGCTAAAAGGTATAGGCATAGATACGTTCCTCCCTGACTGCTCGAGGAGAGTCTGTTCCTTTGTCTTTGCCAGCTTCCAGAGGCCACCCACCCTCCTTGCCTCAGGCCCCTCCCTCGACTTTCAAAGCCAGCCATGATGCATCTCGTCCACCATTGTTCTGTAGTCACATCCCCTCTGACAGTGAACCCAGCTGGACTGGCACCTCCAGTGTTAAGAAACCATGTGATTAGTTGGACTCTTGGATAATCCAGGGTAATCTCCCACCTCAAGGTCTTTAACCTTAATCACATCTGCAAAGTCCCTTTTGCCCTGTAAGGCAATTTAGTCACAGTTCCAGAAAATTAGCATGTGGACGTATTTGTGCGGCTATATTTCTGCTGACTACCAGGTAGAATATTGAGTGATAAATATCAGCAGATTTCAAGCAATCCAATTTGGAGTTTTTAGGCTTCATAGAAGAGATTATCCTGAAGAAGCACCTTTTCAAAGCATGCCTACGACTTATTTGCTAGTGTTCCTTTTATTGGCAGCACATTATAAAGAACTCTGTATTTTGTGGATCACTACGTTGTTTTACACAATATTACTAGATGCCTTTCCCCCTCACCCTTGCTGACTGATTTCAGCTTTCTTGCAACATCAGGCAGTGCTTTTTGTATTAGTCCTGTGTTTATTATTAATTGTACTTCAGTCTGCTTTCAGGAGGCAACTTTACAATCCTTTATCTCAGAGCAGTTGGCCCCTGGAGGAAACACAGAATTCAACAATAGAGACATTCGATATCCTGTCTCTTTGATAAACTAATCACTTTCCTGCCACAGCAATTTATGCACAAACGGTTTTGTGTTGTAATCTTGATTTTCCTAGATATGACTATTACAGGGTCGCTAAAGTTCCTGTGTCTCAAATTACAAAGCAAAAGTGTGTCCTAAAGTGATTTGTATTCCTTGTTTTTTAAAACTTTGCAGTGGTAGATTTCCTCTCTTCATTCCTTTGCAATTTCATATATTATTGATCAGAGGGCTCAAAAGTGTCAAAGTGCATGCATTTCTTAAAGACACTTGCACAAATTGAAACAGGCTTTTTTGGGAAGTTGCTGGATGTGCTCAAGTGAGGTTTTGACAATCATTTTGGATGTTATCGAGAGGATTCAATCATCAGGTCGCGAGAATAGATCCATTCTAATGCTGGGACTCTGGAGATTGCAAGTCATGGAGTGTATTTCCTTATGCCAGGCCTAGTGCACCTGTAAGGTGTTTTGGGGGATGTGAGGGCTCCTGGTCCTCAGAAACATGGTGAATGCTTGTCAACCTCTGGAACTTATTTAACAGAGAGCCACTTCTATTTTACATTTAGAAAATAGATTTAGAAAGCAGCTAACCCTGTGGATGACCTGATACTTAGGTCTAGGTATAAATGATTCACAGCAGATATTTCCTAAAGTAGGTTTAAAATCAGCCCTTAGCAATCTAATATGCATCAGTATTCTAGGAACTTCGGGAATCAAAAATAATTATAACATGATATGGAAACTCACATTTTAATATGAAAACAGAACTATGAGCAAAATGTCCGTGGAGGGTCATGAGTGCCCCAACAGCAGCACGTAGACAGTAAGAACACAAAGGAACACGGATTCTAGTGTTAAGGGACTGTTTCAGAGAAACCTGACCAAGCTGCTGACCCAAACTGAGTTTTGAATAATGAATAAATGTTGGCAGTTGATGGGGGATGTTTCACATGAAGTGTGTGCAGAATTACAAGTTACTCTGGCATGCTTTGGGAAGGCCTGGGCTGGGGCATAAGGTGTCAGTGACAGGATGTGGTAAAGGATGGTTTGGGATGTAGGCATGGACCTCATTAGGGAGGCCTCCTCTGTCTTTTAGGAAGTGTGAATTTACCCCAGGGATCATGAGAAGCCACTGGAGAGGTTTGGTCAGTATAGTCCCCTGAAAGAAGCTTTAGTTGCTGCTTTGGTAGAGGTATGGTCTGGGCAGGAATTAAGTCTGTATCCAACTCAGGTCCAGCAACAATTGAAATGGAAAGTCAGTGACGAATAGTGCACCTTAGATGTGGCTGGAACAAAGTATCATATCGCTAACGAAGTGTGGAGAGTTGGAGCATAACATAGAGGCTATGGCCGGTTTGGCTCAGCGGTTAGAGCGTCGGCCTGCGGTCCGGAGAGACCCGGGTTCGGTTCCCGCTCAGGGCATGTACTTCGGTTGCAGTTTGTCCCCGGCCCTGGTTGGTCGTGCGGGTGGCAGCCACTCAATGTGTCCCTTTCACGTCGATGTTTCTCTCTCTCTCTCTCTCCCTCTCTCTCCCTCCCACTCTATCTGTACAAAAATTGGAAAAATGTCCTCGGGTGAGGATAAAAAAAAACAAACAAAAAAAAAACCATAGAGACTAAGTGAGCTAGAGAAAAATGAAGACATGATGTGAAAAGAAGGGGCAAAGGAGGCTAACCTTGTAAAAAAGAATGTTGAGTGTATCAGGTGTTGTATTGTATCTGGGGGATGTTTATGTTACTTTCTTCCTTTTAGAGAATATGTATGTGCGGTGCTGGAATTAGAGTATGGTTAGTTAAATAATTCTTAGCATTAACTTATTGGGGATCAATTTTACTGTGACTATTGTCAGTAGTAATACTTCTTTTTAATGGGAAAAGGAATGTATTAATTTCAGCTTGGTATTTGCAAATTTCTTTTTCTTTGATTGTTTTAGGTATCAATAATAGAGATTTAAAAGTAATCTTTTCGCTGAAGCATGCCTAAAATGCCTGTTCTCTGGCACAGTTATACTATGTTCTGTGATTCAGCTCTTTGAGAGTCCCATGCTCAGGAACTCTTATCAGGATAGAGAGCCTGGGGAACAGCCCTGAACAGAGGCCTCAGTATTTTTCACACATTCTTCCTTCAATCATTTCATATTTTGTTAAAATATTGTATGAAATGATTTAATCATTGTTTAGCCATTACAATTTCTCACATGTATGATGGCTCAAATATGACAGTGTTACTTATATCTTAGACCGTGGTTCTCAGTCCATTTTGTTTTGTACCTGGAGACTCGTAGAGCAGTGGCTGTCCGATTTCAGTGGCTGCTGTTCTCCCCGGGGAAGGAACGGGCTGGGTGGAGGGTCTCCAGGGGTCAATGCAGTTTGGAAAGCTCTGTGTGGTAGTCTGACTAATGATCTCTAAAGTTATCTAGATCTTAATTCCTGGAAACTGACTGTTAGTTTATATGGCAAAAGGGACTTTGCAGATGTGATTAGATTAAGGTTCTTGAGATAGGGAGATTACCCAGGATGACAGGTGGGTTCCTGGATCTGCCATCATAGTTCATTACTTAACGAATTAATAAGGAAGCATGTATTTTTATATCACAGGTTTACGTTTTTTATACATTTGGTGATTATATTTTAATGTAATTTGGTTCCTTTAAATTTTGTGTATTTTAATTTAGCTTAATTATTCACCAGATTGCCACAGAGGGGCTTTGAAAATAGTTAAAAAATAATAATAATAACACAAAACCTGCGATAGAATGTGGACACACAAAATGCTTTTAATATGAGACTATTTTAAATCTTTCAGTTTATTTTAATGAATATTTTAAAAAATAAAAGAGAGATGATATCAATGAAAATGTTGCAGAAAAGTGTCTTTTCTGTGCCCAGGCTCTCCATAACAAAGAGAAACATAAACCAATGATATTTGGAGAACTCCATCTAGTAATAATCATAACAAAAGAGCACTCACGCAAAGCTGAAAATTTTAGGCACTACCAATAGTGAATAATGGAGTGTGTTGAGTTTTCAAAGTATCCTATAGGGGAAAAAGTTCTCATTTTTGTATGAAGTTATTTCTCACCATCTGTTAAGGGTCTGTATCCTACTCATTGAGTAACCTCACATCCCTCTTTTACAATGGTTTTTCTTGAACAAAAACATCAATAGCACCCTTCCTTTTTCCTTACGTTAAAGGAGTGGGACAGGAAAGATTAAAAATAAACTTACGTATTGAATCCTGAGTGAGATATTAGAAAATATGGATGTGTTCATCATTGTTTAGCTTAGAAGCTATGTTCAGTTT